TCTTAATTTCATCAGACAGCTTTTAATGAAATAACAAACTTATGGTTGCGTGACCTTGACAGAGATGTCTGTCTGAGTGCTTGCTGGTGTTAATCAGTAATCTGTTTAATTTCACAGATCTGTGGTCAAATCTGTTCAAGGAGTCTGGGTCCTCCACACATTTAGAGCATCAGTGCATAAGAGGAAGGTTGTGGGCAAAACTGCTCATCTAAACTCCAGACGTTTTAAGCCCTGACTTTTAGCAGACCTTGATACAAAGTAGATCTCAAGGTCAAAGAGTGTAAAAATACAATTCTGATTTTAATCTACTTAGATACTCGAAGCATCACTGCAGTTAAAGAAAAACTTAAGACAGTTTTTTTTTAAGATCTCTGCCCACTTTTTTCGAATCCCCAATCAACTGATGTGTCTTAGAAGATGAGGTGTACTGCTTCAAACTTGCAAAAATACATGTAATAGACCTTCATGAAGCCAGATATTTTTATTGGCAGGCATAGCAATAGCAAGTCCTCATTTCAATCAAAGCAGATAAAAACAAACAAAAAAAAGATTTGTGAGGTTTAATGAATACAAAAAAAGAAACCTGATATAAACCATAATAGCAGACAGAAAATGCCTGTCAAATTATTTTGTTGTTACAGCTTTGTAGTGCTTGCTTTGGGTAATTCCATGCACATRTGTGTCCCACCATGCAGCTTAAATTGTTTTGTGTTGGCTTTAAGAATGACAAAAATACAGTCCCTTGGGGCAAATACCACAAAGGAAATGGTCTGTGTCTGTTTGCGTTTGTGAGACAAAAGCAGTCAACTGAAAGCATTTTGAGAAATGAGTTCAAGCGTTGAGTATTCTGCTTGTAAAGTCTGAGTCTAACACAGAGCATGTGGCCCTTGACTCAATCGGTAGCAAAAAGATGAGTTAAAAATATGTTTCATCTAATTTGCAAAATTAGGCAAGTATGCATGTAAAACAACAATTAGGAGTCCAGGTCAATGCTATTTCCTCCTTCAGAATGTGCATGTAAATTTAAAAGTAATCTAAAATGTGTAAAATGTGTCTTTCAAAAAAGTAAAATACAAGTTTATTTTATTTTATTTTATTTTATTTTATTTTATT